ATCCCTGTGGGTAAATTAAGAAATATGATTTGATATTTTATTCTGACTATTTACATTAATATAATAAAATTCCTGTGGGTAGATTTTATTATATTTTTTGTAATTAGTCACAAAGTGATCAAAAACTTAACAATTTCAGTTATGAAATTGTATTGATCACTTGATATTTGTACACAAAAGAATATTAATGTACCAAGCTATTAATCCAAATTTCATTCATGCATAATAAATTCACATAAAAGAAACTAGACTAATACCACAAATGTACACATAAAAATACTTTTGAATATGTACATATATCATAACTTTATGATAGAAAACGTCAATTTATTTATATTATAACTATATGTTAAATAAATTGACCTTCCTATCTGTAATGATAAAACTCACCAAAACTATATTCCGATGCATAATTGCCTGTGGGCTAAATTATGATCATAGTTTGATGTCTTTACCCCAATTAATTATATAAACATAACAAAATTGCCTGTGGGCTAAATTTTATTATATCATATAATTAATCACAATCAATACGTCTATGACTGTATATGATCTCACAAAATTTCAATTAATCAAAGATACTGTGGCTACTACTTAATTAATCAAAATTATAAGATCACTAGACGATTTTCTTAATATCTTAGGCATCAACTTTAAAGCCTAAAAACAATTATGCCGCAATATGATAAACAATTCCAAGTGTACTCCCAGGAAAGTTGGTTGGGACTAAGCCTCATTAAAAATAACCAACTCCTTAGTCAGAGTAATGTTTCAAGGGAACTAGTAGCACATTGGCCCCTTCCCGAGAAACTTTTCACCGGTTCATGTTTTCTCACACTAAAGGCATAATTGACGAGTAATCTTTTCCAAATCTTTAATAGTTCACATATGAAAAGATTTGATCTTAGGTGAACATTTTAAACGGTCTAAAGGTGCTTAAACATAATGCACTACCATATATAATTCCACACACAAAGTTCACCCTAACAAGGAATTATTATAATTCCTAACTTATGCAATTCTAAAAGCATAATTAAATTCACATAACTAGAAAATATAATGTTATGCTAGTGAACAATTATATGTGAAATTCAATATGCTCATATCCAAATAAATTGTACATAATAGCAATTTAAAAAGAGCTATAAAATTATTATTCAAATAACAACATGAATCCAAAACTTGAAGGATTTATAAAATTTGAATAATAATTTAAAATAACCATATACTTTTCAATTATTGAAAAGTTTTAACTTGTAGGCCCAAAAATGATTCAATGCATTTAGTAAACTTTATGAGAACTAGCTTTAAAATTGTAAATTCTAACCATATCAAAACCATATGATATGTTGACATTCACAAATTAAATTCTCATAAAACTAAATTGCATAATTTAAACCATAATATTATGCATTTAATTTAATTATATGCATAAAACAAACTCAAAATATGAATATAAAATCAAATATTCATACTCAATCAAAGTGGGCATCACAATCCAAAAAATCCAAAAATAATAATAATGATAACAATGTTACGACATATTGATTCCTCAGTTCAAAACTGATAATCGTTATTACTATAATTATTACATAACGGTAATAACGGAATAATCAATTTTCTTAATCGTAACCGAACAACATTTAATATTAATGATAATAATTATTATTAAATGTCACATTATATCATCATTATTACCATAAATGTTTTGGATAAGCAAATTCATTAAGAATCTCAAAATATAATTCTTAACATCATTATTGAAATTATCATGGCAAAACTGAAAAGGAAAACAATATCCAATTGCCATAAACATATGCATTTTCCAAAATTGTGATTCAAAATCACACTCCATAATTAAAAAATATTACTATTAAATTATGGCAAAGTTGCAAAATTCTGAAATTGCAATGAATAACCATAATAATCATATAATATTATAACAATTAGGAGATTTAATATGGAAAAACAATTGCTAATCACCACAAACCTTTAAAACATTTTTCGGGAAAACTTTAAAACTTAATAAAATTAAAATCCGAAAACATTAATGTTGGAAAAATAATATCCAACATTTTCAACTTTAATAATAAACTGATATAAAGGCATAAAAAGTGGTTCTTGACTAAAACTTTATGATCTTACTAATTACCATAATAATGACTGTAAATGCAAACGATTGCAACAATCGCCAAACATCTCAATATATCATCTAATCATGGCAATTAGTCACAAAGTATAGCAATTTATCTTTATTACAAATAATATATCAATACATGATTACAACATATTAGCATTATGCTAATAGTTGTGGATCCCTACTTTATTGACCCAAGATAGGTCCCAAATAGCTTGTTCAAAATAGGTTTAAAAGTCCCAAGTGAATATAGGACTAAAATATGCTCAAAATTGAATGAGAAACCAAACAAGCTGTCTTAATAGGCTATAATATCCAAAATTAACCTGAGGATCCAAAAAAAGAATAAAATTGAATATAAAAATTATGAATTAATAATATGCTATATCCAATCTTAATATGCTTTTCTAAATGTACAATTATAACAAAATAATTTATGAATATACAAAGCATGCTTGGATTTTGCAATATTAACTCATAAATCATAAATAAATTGCAAACACTTCAGGCAATTTAATATGATTCTCAATATTAAATTAAAATTCAAATAGCAAATTTAAAACTTAATATTTGCCTATAATTGAATAATAATTTAATTATGAATTTTAAAACTTAATATTTGCCTACTACTTAATTAATCAAAATTATAAGATCACTAGACGATTTTCTTAATATCTTAGGCGTCAACTTTAAAGCCTAAAAACAATTATGCCGCAATATGATAAACAATTCCAAGTGTACTCCCAGGAAAGTTGGTTGGGACTAAAGGGAACTAGTAGCAGAGTCTGGTGTTGGAAGGGAGACATGCGAGGTACGTATTCAGTAAAACATGGCTATAGGTTGTTAAACTCTACGAATGTTATTATGCAACAGACTTTCAACAGGTGGAGTAAGTTATGGGGCTTAAAGATCCCACCAAAGGTTCTGAACTTTCTTTGGCGGTGTATCAAGGACGTCCTGCCAACAATGGTGGCTTTGTCTTCCCGGAGAGTGGACGTGTGTATTTTATGTCACTTGTGTGGTCAACACCCGGAGTCTGCTGTGCACCTGTTCTTTGAGTGTGAATATGTTAAACCGCTTTGGTGCAATGTCGGCTTCATTCCCTACACCTTTGGTTGATGATGATTTTGCTGCGTGGATTATGAAATGGATGAGCCATGCAGATGTGGCGGCACTCATAAAATGGATTGCAAATTGCTGGTGTATTTGGAATGGTAGGAATGATCAAGTTTGGAACAATAAGGTTTGGAACATAACAGATGTGAAACAAGAGGTGGCAGTTTCTTGCCTTGAATGGTTTTGCAATGAAAACTTGGATTCCCAGCATACTGCTGCTGCGTCGTCACATGTTGCCTCAACTTTGCTATCTGTACAAAGCCTGGATACAATGCTAGCATATGTGGATGCTGCCGTGTTCCCATCAACTAATAGTGCTTTTATGGAGTTTACGCCTGTGATGGTGGTGGTTCCTATGCGGGCGCAAAGAATGGGGTGGTGAGATGCATGAATGATGTTCATCTAGCGGAGGCTCAGGCTGTAAAAGAAGCGCTATCTTGGCTCAAGGACATGGGCTTTAATAAGGTGAAGATCTTCTCGGATTGCCAGGCTGTGTGTTCGTATTTAAATGGTTCATCTCAGGATCTTTCATACGCCGAATGTGTTATACGAGAGTGCCATAATATTCAAAGACACTTTGAAAGGGTGTCCTATCACTATATTCCTCGATCTGTGAATACTGTGGCTCATGCCTTAGCTAGAGCTATGTGTTCTCAAACTGGTCCATGTAGTTGGTTGTTTTCTATTCCTTCATGTATTGAGCATTTGGTTTAATAAATCTCTATGTTTTTGGTTTTCAAAAAAATTAAAAAAAAAATAACATAATGAGCAAACACTTAATACAATTTATACTACCAACACAATTTTAATTCCAATTAAGGACTAACATTATTGGCTCTTATTAAATTTTAGAGTTATAAACTTATAAAAAGAATTCATGCGATCATTAAAATTGTAGTATCAAATTTTTATTCGATTTAAATGTAATATTAATAATTAAAGTTGTGAGTTGAGTATTACCCGCACTCGCAAAATCTCCGTGAGAATGAGAATAAGATAGGAATTTCATTACCCGCGCGGGTGTGGAGGGTGGGTTGGAAATGCGGGTGCGTGGGCGGGGCATAAATCCACAGCACCCGCCCGCCCCATTGAGATTCCTAATAATATATAACTATAGAATGTTAATGTTTTAACGAAATCACCTTCTGTCTAAACTCACTAAATGAAAAAAAAAAAAAAAAAATGACATGTAAGCTTAGGTGACAATTGAATTTCTCATATGTTATATGCAACATAATGTAAAGTATTCCATGAAAAAAAAAATTATAAATGTAGAGATTTAACATGAAAATTATAACTGTCAAAGTTACGGTACTTTTTAGACTGACAGGGGAGAGAATTTGTAATATGTTCTCTATCCATGAGATCAGAGTGTGTTAATATGGCAAATTATTGCATGGAACATGGTCCACATAATTGTATGGACCATGAATATTATGTACATTTTTAATATATTAAAAGTACATTATTTTTGTATTGAAAGTACATTATATAAAATAATGTACCCTTAGTATATTAAAAATGTATTTTAAAAAATGTACCTTACGTACATAAATAATGTACTCTTAGTATATTAAAAATGTACTTTTTATTTATGGTCCACATAATTGTGTGGACCATGGTCCATGCAATAATGATTGGTGTAATATTGTCCATGTTGATTCTTGAACCTTTTTATATAATAATTTTTCCTTGTGTCAATTACTTAATATGCTAAAATTTAGTATCCAATAAATAATGGATTGCATTAAGAATAATTAAATAAATAAAATAATACATTTATATCATTACAAATCAACGTACTGATCAAAATAACTATCACAATTCACTATCAACAATTAGCTCAATCTACTATCCGTCTAGTTGTTTTACAAGGAAAAACAAAAGCATTATAACTCTTGAAGATGATATAGTGTCATGTACAATTCCAATATAATGTTCTTAAAACATGAACAACAAAGAATGCCGACCTAAGTATACAACTTCAAAGTATTGTTATGTCTGTCCCTGGTGTATATTGCTCAAGTAACCTGTAAAGGACCAAACTTTTTACAAAATTAGGCCAAAAGAATCAGGCTAGTTCACACTGAAATTGTGTGTCTATGGTCATAATCATCTTGGAGGATGGACAATTTGGTTCATTTCTACAGCTGCATATTCGGACCGCCTAATAATATTTCCGAATTTCTCCCCTTCTCTTGCAATCTGAATGTCACGAGGCGTAAAATGCTGCACACAAACTTTCACAACAAACCGAGGAACGAGAGCAGCAACAATGATACCGAGTAAGCAAAACCAAAATGCGCCATCTCTCGCAATGTAAAAAATCGCCCTGCAACATGTGAAACCAAATAAATAATGATATAGCAAGCTTGATTCCATGACGCCACATTTTCGAGAGGGGGTTCAGGACTTGCCCTTCAGGCCTCCGCCCACCGCCCACCCCACAATTTACCCTTGTTGGGGATCGCACCGATGACCTGGCTTTGATACCACTTGTTAGGGATCGCACCATCATGCCAAAAGTTATAGCTCGTAGTGAATGCGCAACTTTATTTCTTTATACCGCCACATTTTCGAGAGGCAGGGTGCTAGACTTAACCTTTCAGGCCTCCGCCTAGCAATCCCCCTAGCCACCTGGTGTTGGACTTGGCCCTTCACCGGCCTCCGCCCAACAGTACCCGTGGAAAGGAAAAAATAAAAAAAGAGGATAATGTTGTCAGCTAATTGATCTTACCAGTAACCGGGAAGAAATGGCAATGCATCGATGATGACGACACAAATAACAGTTGCGATGATCGATCCCCAGATGACAGCGTGAGTAATCCAACTCCACCGAATCACATCCATGGCTAAATGAATATTAACCAAAATAACCACAGCTAGTGTCCAAAGATCTCCAATGCTTGAAACGTCGATATCACTTTTCCAGTACGCGAGAAGAGGCACAAAGAACGCAACTGCACTCTGCCATACTGTGTCCACTATTGTCGCCCAAAACAATTTCCCATTATACCCTTCTTGCCGTTGCCCGGCTCCATAAAGTTGAGGAAACTTCAGAAGCGTCCTTCTACTCAGATCCTTATCAAGAACCCCAACCACTATCGTAGGCAGTGCGGTGTAGATGATAGAATACAACATGGAACTCCAGTCAGTCACGGCAGTAGTTAACGTGAAAGCCGTAAAGAGCGCATACCTATGTACGACAATTACATACGAGATCAGATAATATTACGACAATTACATGGAAATAAATAATAAGTGGCGAACTTACCAGAATAAGACAAGAACAAACACCGCGTTCCTGTAAAAGTTGTATAATATCATGTAGCCCATCCGCTGATAATTCCAGTGTCCATGAACCAATAAAAGCGGGACCAAGAATCTAAATTGGCCCATCGCGAAATCTGATGCCATGACAGCTTGTCGGCCCTCTTGCCCGCTAATACCAACCCCCACATCAGCCATTTGGATCATCGAAACATCGTTAGCACCTGAAAAGTGTAGAGCTTCTTATTATCATGTCAAAATATTCGAAAGAACAATGTAAAAACGCATTTCAGACTTACCATCTCCAATAGCGAGGGTCATGTCATCTGTCCGGTTTTTAACGAGGGCAACAATTCCAGCTTTCTGCAATGGAGCCACTCGGCAACACAGTACCACATTGCAATTACTCGCTAACTGGAACAGCTGCAAATGGCAAAGAGAAGTGTGTTGTCTAAGAGATCTATAGATACAAATAATATAGTAACTACTATATACAATCGCTTACCTTTTCCTCGAGTTCTCGGTCATCGAGGATATAAACGAGGCTTGTTCCGTCAATGATCAATGCAACTGAACTTGCATCGGCTATAAAGTCTGCTTCGGAATTATATGTCGTGAGCTTCTTCTTATTACATAAGTTCAAGCCATCTTCCAAGCTCCTTCTACACGAATTTGCAGACTTGCTATTAATGACAATATGGGTCATCGTACTCGTCAAAAGCTTAGATGAGTAGCCAATTGAAATCGCGGTTTCTTGTTTGTCCCCGGTCAAAACCCAAACTTTAATGCCCGCTATTCTTAAAGACTCGATTGCTTCCGGCACGCCTTGTTGCAGCTTATCTTCAATCCCCGATGCGCCTAATATGTTAACGTTGTTTTCAATGTTGTTAGCGACTTTACGAAGTAAGGCTGCCCTTCCAATCACGGCAGTGCTGGCTGCCTCGTAAGAAGACTGCCACAGCCCGAAATCGGAAGCACTCAGTTCTCGCATCCCCACCACAAGAGTTCTCAATCCTATCGAGGAATAGGAATTGAGATGCATTTCAGTTTCACGAACAACTTCCGAGTTCAATGATTTGTCTATTACGCTAAACATGGATGTATCAGCTCCTTTTACGAAGACCTTTACTGTGTTATCAGGGCAACCTAATATCACAGACATCCTCTTCCGATCACTATCAAACTCATGCAAGCCCAAAACATTGAACCTGCATTACGTTGAACAGAAATAACATATAGAAGCTAAAAATAGAAGAAACCCGAAATTCAAAATGTAAGATATAGAAGCTTCGGCTTGCTTGCCTTTGCATTTCTCCTTGAACGCTGATAACAATATGGCCCGAGGTTCGTTCCACGAGCATGAAACCATAAGCTGCAGCTGCATATACTAATGCCTGCTCGTCGGGAGACTCTCCTGTATAGTCTACTAACTTCAATGCGGGATCAGATGTATCCACAGCGAGAGGAACTATTGTGTTGCAAGCCGCCAATGCAAGGAAGAAATCGTGAACGTGTTTTCCTTCAACTGTACATGGTCTACCTTTCGAGATTTTTAAGAGCTCGGGATCAACCTTTATTTTAATCTTGGGCCTTAAAACCTGTCCGTTCACTGATACAAAATAAGATATGAAAAAATGTTATATTTGGCATATAATAATATAAAGTAGGGCATTCAACCAGCTTGGTTGGCGTGAGTGGCCCGTGCACTCTTGTCCCTTAAGAGAGGTCAGGAGTTTGAACCCCCTCTCGTATGGAAAAACCAATCTGGTCAGCACTTTGCCCCTTAATTGGGACGGCCCGGTGCGAATGGGGATTAGTCTGAGTATGGTACGAGCTTAAAGGTGCCTCCTACAGTTAGGGCATGCTCAGAACACCTCGTGGTCTGACCAAAAAAAATATAAAATAAGGCATTTATTTCAAAGAAAATGGCAGAAAAGAGGGAAGGGAAAAATACAAACTAGACAAGGAGAGCTGCAACACCTTGAACTTCATACACTACTTGATCTTCTTCAAGACTGGACTTTCTGCTACCATAATCAACTCCCGAGATGCTGGCACATTGAAATTCCATCTTGTTCTCAGTTAATGTACCGGTTTTATCAGAGAAGATGAATTTTATCTGTCCCAAATCTTCGTTTATATTAAGGGCTCTACATTGGAATTTTGAGTTTGAGCCTTCATCGAACAACTGGGAATCTTGAACCATAAAGTAAGCCTGACCAACACGGACAAGCTCCATAGATATGTATAGTGATATGGGGATCATGATTTGGTAGACAATAACTGAGCTAAGAAACGTGAACAATATTTCCAACCCCCATCCATAATAATTATAATTTTCCACTTTGGGTTCCGAGTAGTCTTTTCTCCGAAAGAAAGGGATTATATCTAACTCATCCTTGTGATGCCTCAGCCAGAAACCAGCCAAAACGGAGACAATAGTACAGAGAGCAACAAGGAAAAAGGAAAGGAAAATTATCTCACGGTTCATACGAGTCTCGAGTCGACTCCTCTTAGATGGAGCTCCGGAGCCGTTGAGCATAACTTTTGTCTCTCTGCCAGCATATACTACAACTCCAATCGCCCAAGCTGTATTCTTGAGCTCACAACCACGGAGAATGATATTGGAAGGTCCAAGTGAAACACGCTTTCCATCTATCTCCATATTTGCCTGGAAGCCATAAATGTTTCGATTGGGTTTTTCACACGTGATCAGCCCTTCAATCGTATCCTTTTCGGGAATTTTCAGTTGTGTCTCCTGTTTTGCATACCGTGTTTTCAAATTTGACTCTCCATCCAAATTAATCGTCTGGACATATGCAACTCCCGTTGTGTCACTTGTGGAGAGCAGCGCCATATCACACGGGATAGTTTCACCCGAAAAGACTTTGATTATTTCACCGACCCTAATATCTTTCCATTTCTTCGGCTGGAACTCGCCATTCGCAAAAACTAATGCCAACCTTTTGTTTTCAATCTTGTCAGACCTGTGCCGCCTATAATCTTCATAGGCATCTTTAACTGCTGTCACTAACAATACAAAAGCTAATGGAAGAATCGAAGCTCCCCGACCAAAAACAGCCAATTGTGGCAGCTGATTTAGGATAGCAATAACAAGAAAGTAAATATACGCAACCCTATGGAACTGTTCATACAAGTTTCTGGGCAGGAAAGTTAAAACGGAGTATTTCCCAGTCCTGATCGAATTCCCAGAAAATTCAAACTCCTCATTGGTCTTGGCAGGATCATTTATATATATCAACCTTGCATCCTCATCACTAATTTCTTTCAGGGACCTGCTAAACCCCTCTGAGTCTGCCCCTCGTGATCCATGCCTCACGCGTATAGATCCCAAATCCCCTACATCCACCTCCCTAATCGAGCTTTCCCGCGAGGCTTTAGACCAATTCGAAGATGTATTTCTTCGAGATAAATTCGGGGTAGATTCAGGTAGTGAAAAATTCTCAGAATGCACATTTGAATCCATCCCAGAAGGTGGTATAAGAAACAGATTTCAAGTCTTTACACAGATCAGCAAGGACAGATGTATAAGAAAGCTCAAGGGAATGGGATTAAAAGCAGCAACATCTAAAGGCACAGGATGCTTCAACAGCATAGAATCAAACTCTCTCAAACACATTAAGACAAAATTAGATACTGATCCAACCCAAAACAACCAGAAAACCCAGAAACTCTGCAGAATCCAAACACCAGTCCAACTAAAAGTCACAGAGCACTGAACCACCCCAACCACAGTTTCAGCCAATAATAAAAAATAAAAAAGAACTGATTTTTAACAAAGATCAAGAGAACTGGCAAATTCCACCAATACCCAATTTCTGCTCTCACCTAAAATGTCCAAACTCCAAAGAACCAGAACAGCAGTATACGAATCTATCAAGTACACAATCTTATCCGGGTACCACCCCAGCAAAGTCAACTATAATAGTAGCAAAAGATTGATACACCAAAGATCAATCCTGGTATATATCTATAAATATATATAGGGTGGCCGGGCACTTAACTTACTTGTATGGCAGAAAAGGGCAAGCTAAAGAAATATTGACCGGAAATGCGCATCCGAATAGCTCTGAATTCTTCAGTAGTAAGGAAAACAAAAAAGAGGAATCTTGCGCATATACTTGATAGAGACGAGGGAAATTCAAAAGTCAACAATGCAGACCCACAGAAACAAGGTGGGGTCGGCAGGCTGTGGGGGTCGAAGATTACAAGAAAGTCGGAAGGGAAGATGAATGAGAATGGCGAGAGGGGCCGGAACACGAAAGCAAATCAAGCAGTGGACGAAGGCCTATGCTGCGAGTGCTTGCTGGCTACAGATGTAGTTGGTCGTTTCTAGAAACAGAGAATTTGTTGTTGAAGTTTTCTTCTGATTGTCCGGAAAGAAAGTCCCAAATTGGCAGCTGCCCCACCCACCCAGTCGGCCACTCCACACTCCAAATTGACCATCTCTATTGCTGACTATACTTTGATTCCGTAATTCTGCATTTCTGTTACCAATTCTAAGGAAACCAAAATATCCCTCGTACTTGGCTACAGTTATGGGAAAGAAATGATATATGGTGTGTAGGTTACCATGGATCAGAATTCACCTTACATGGTGAATCTTAACTCAAATATAATTTTAACTGTTTTGTATTTATAAGTAAATTGAAGACACATGATAATTAAAGATACATAAATCGTAACTGCAAGTATAAAATAGGAAAAATGACACTTTTTCTCCTGAGTTATATACTTATATCACTTTTTCCCCCTCAATTATTTAAGTAAGCACATTAGTCCACTCAATTATTCTAAAAGTGATGGTTTTCCCCCTGATATATTAAATTGACATTTTTACCCTTAAAGTAAATATTTTATTTATTTTACTTCTCCAACAAATTATTGCGTATACGTAGGGATGACCACGGTTCGGTTCGAACTGAACCGGATACTAAAGTAATCAAATTAAAAATTTTCGGTTATGATTCAGATCTATAACCCAACATTTGGATTTCAATTTATTAAAATTATGAATCAAACAAATTGGATCCTGAATGGCTGAACCGTGAACCGGGGGTTCCAGATCCGGTTCGCGATTTTGAACCGTCTTTATTTTAAATTTTTGTTTTTTATTTTAAAATAGTATAAATTCAACAATAAATGTATTTTATTTTTTCAGTTCGGAACATGAACCGTCCGTTCCGGTTCGCGATTTTAATAAACTTTAAATATCGGGTTTCGATTCTAAATTGTAATTGGAATATTTCGGTTTGGTTGCTATAGTGTTTGTTTGGTTTGAATCAAATTATGGTCATAATTTGTTGGAGAAGAAAAATAAATAAAATATTTATTTTAAATATTTATTTTAAGAGTAAATATGTCCATTTAACATTTCAGGGGGAAAAATAGCCACTTCAATAATTGAGGGGGGAAAAGTGCTATAGGTATATAACTCAAGGAGAAAAAGTGTCATTTTCCCTATAAAATATGTTAAGTGCAGACACAACATGTTAATCAACATCTTATGTATCTACAGCTAATATATTATGTTCATATAATTAACAATTTGTGTGTCTAATGTTATCCTTCAATTTGTTTACATGTACATAAATGATTAACTGAAGGTGCATAATGTATTAAGTGCAAACATATAATTTTGGATCAAGGTTTGCAGTAAAATATGAACTCCGATCCATAGTATAACAATTGCATATAGTATAACTCCCAATAGTTATACCATGAACCCGAGTCTACCTTGCAAGGTGGATCCAAATCCAAAATACACAATTTACATACTGAATCTTCACAATTTACATATTGAACGGTCATAATGTAAATTGTGTATTTTTAGACCTGAATCCATCTTGCAATGTGGACCGAGTCCACAAAATAATTTGCTTATAACTTTCGTCACACGAAAAGGTTACCAAATGCATATTAACTGCATTAAGTATAAATTCAAGACACATAAGGGCTCTAACCATATTTCGACTTGTGATCAATCCATAGATACCGATAGAAAATAAAAAGGCACTCAACACAAGGGCATGCTCGAGCATCATTCAAAAACTCCTTATCATTATCAATCTTGACTTTTTTCAATAAGAAAAAACAATTCAACCGATTCGATTGACTACTGTATAACAAATATGTAACAACAAAATCTAGCGGTAATAGTAAATAAATTTTATTGGGTAAAAAAAATAAATAAATAAGTGGCCCACTTTATTATTTAAATCAATCAAAAGTGACACTTGAACAAGAAATAAAAAATAAAATAAAAAATGAGAGTAATAATATTACTCACAGATATATCTTTCTACGTCTCAAAAATTTTACACATCATAAAAAACTATCGTCTCTACGTTGTTTAATATTTTTTTACAGCTTATTTTCTTTAATATTTTTATTATTTTTAAATTAATTTGTTTTTTGTATTTAAGAATATGTAATTTTTAAATCTATAAATTTTAAATATATTGATATTAAATAATTTTGTCTTATTGTGTCTGTTTTGTTTATTGCTCACGAGTTAAATTAATCATTTTCTCATATCTTATTTTCTTCAATGATTTTTTATAATTTTTAAAAAATTTTTATTCAATAGTACTTTTAATGTAATTTTTAAATATATAAATGTATATATTGATTTTAAATTAAATATTATGAAAAATTAAACTATAAATAATTTAATCTAATTTCGTTAACTGAATCAGATATATCAAATGGGATGAAATGAATAATAAAAAAAACATAAAATTAATGGTGTGTTCAAGGTTTGGATAATTAAATGTTATAAATTTGCAGAGCTCATAAAAACAATTAACTGAACATACGTCAAATGTCTTGTGATTTGATGTTATCACTGTTACTTTTCATAAGAAAAGTCTCAGGTTCAAGTGGGGTGTTTAGTTCATGTGATTTCACATAACCTAAGAATGTAAATATTGTAATATTATATTCTTTTGTTCGGTTCAGAGAAATGTGAAATTATACTACAAATATGGGATTCCCAAATTTTGTTTTTAGTTCATTTTTGGTAATTATCATGGGAATCACATTTCTCCACATTCTTAGGTTATGTGAGATTCTCTTAAAATGTTACATTATCTTAAAGAGTTAATTCCAGCAATGGTCCTTCAACTATTGCGATTTTCCAAAATTAGTCCTCGTCTTTTAATTTGGACAAAATAGACCCTTGATTATTAAATTTATTCCGCCATTGGTCCTTCCGTTAGGGATCAGTTAGTTAGGCATTAGTGTAGGAGCTAAAATAGTCTTTTCCTTAAATATTGCTTTCTTCTTCCTTCCTTGTCCGAACCAGCATCCCTAAGCCTTATTCTTCTTCGTGGGCATGTGTATGTGGAGCTGAAGGTTACGTTTGCGGGAGAAAATGGGGAGCAAATGGAGGAAAGCGAAGCTGGCTTTGGGAATGAATATCTGTCTCTACGTTCCCAAAATGCTAGAGGAAGGTCCGGCGACGTCTCCCTCGGCCGCGGCAGTTTCCGACGCCCTTCCGCTCTCTCCCGCGTCCGCCCGGAGCTCCGACTCCCAAATCAACATGCCCACCACCCCCACCCCCACCCCCTCCTCCTCCGGCCTCCGATTGCCCAAACACAGCTTAAAGTCTTCAAATGTTAGTAAAGATCGATTCCTATTTTTTTCTTTTGGGTGTTTCTGTTTATATATGTGGGTTTTTGTGGTAGAAAAATAGCAAACATCGATTACTAATTATCCTTTTTCTAATTTTCTTTACTAGTATGGATTTTATTGTCTAAATCTTGTTTTTTTTTTTTTTTTTTTTTTTTTTTTTTTTTTTTATCCTTCTGATATCCTGTTGTTTGTGTAGAAGAAATAAGGGGTTTCTTGTGTAAACATAAAGGTTTTAATGTTATTTTATGAAATATATGCTTGTGATTATGAATCTTCATTAGTAGATTCTGGACAGTGCAATGAAGTTAACCCATTTCTTGCTTTTTTAACTGATACTGAACCTCTTGAATTGTCAAATTGCCTTTGTTAAAAGATAATTGCAGTCAATGAAGTTAACCCCTCCCTTCCTTAGGGATGCTGGTCGGACAAGAGAGGAAGAAGAAAGCAATAAGGAAAAGATTATTTTAACCCCTACACTAACACCTAACTAACTGATCTCTAACGGAAGGACCAATGCTGGAACAAATCTGATAGTCAAGGGTCTATTTTGTCCAAATTAAAAGACAAGGACTAATTTTGGAAAATCACAATAGTCGGAGGACCATTGCTGGAATTAACTCTTATCTTAAACTATCCCTTGAACTAAATACCCACTTTATTTGGTAACATAGTTAACTTATCAGTCAATTTTGACTTATTTGACCATTATTAGCTGTTTGACTTAATTAAACAATCAATATAAGTGTTTGATTAATTAGCTTTTTGTAATAGCTTATTGTTCCAAAATTCTAAAATTCAAAAAGTTGTTCAAAGTGATTTTTTGAAAAAATCATTTTGCATGTAATCAACTAACAGCTAACAATTAATTTACTAAATATTTTTCTACAATCAACTAATACATACCATCAACTAGTCAAACTCACTAATCTAATCAACTAATAGCTATCGACTAACAGCTATTTACCAAACATCTCCACTATCATTTCATTCCATATTGTTATGTATTAATTATCATTAATTTTAAAGGTAGACTTTTTTTTAGGGGGTAGCTCGCATTTTTTTTCTTCTTTCCATTCAATCAATGTAAGTCACGTAATAAAGTAAATACTTTAAATTATAATTAATTAATATTTTTTGTGGTATATATTTAGTACAAAATGGAGAGACAAGTGGAGTCCATGTTGCTTCTCCATTAAGAAATTCAAGAGTGGTGCTAGTGATGACACTGAAAAAGTAAGTAAAAGGAGTGAATTCTATTTTTGGTCCTACTGTTATAGGGGCGTTTCCAATTTTAGTCCACCTTAATTTTTTTGTCACTTTATAACCACTATTATTGAATGTGTTCCACTTTTAGTCCCACCGTTAGTATTTCCATCAAGAGGCCGTGTAATCTAGGGGTATTTTGACATTTCTTCTCATCCAAGACTATGTGTTTGACTAACGAAATGAGAACATTAAACCTAAAACCTAAGAAACCTCGTCGGCCCATATTGGAACGAACGAAACGATGTAGCTTTGGCTTCCCATTCTTGTTGTTCGAAGAGCCATCTTCGAATATCGAAGGAGGAAGACGAAGCGCCTGGATTAAAAGAGAAGAGACAAACATAAAAAGACCAAAATACCCTTTGATTATACGGCCTCTTGATGGAAATATTAACGGTGGACTAAAAGTGGAACATATTCAATAACAGTGGTTGTAAAGTGGCAAAAAAAATTAAAGTGGACTGAAATTGGAAACGCCCCTATAAGAATAGGACCAAAAATGGAATTCACTCAAGTAAAAGGGTAAAACACTATTATTTGGTATTTTAGGTTTTATACATTTTAATTAGTAATATTTCAACTTCAATTATTCACAGGATGTGACTTACAATATAATTATCGAACAATGCAAGTTGCTGAAACTTGAAAATGGGTTATATAAAGGAATCTCTAATGTGAATATTAGTTATACCAACTTACTTATTAAGTAGTTATTAGACATTGAGAGAATAGATATCGAAGTATTTGAATATATTGTATTTAAATAAATTTTTTTTTTTTTGGTGAGCATTATATTTAGATAATTGAAAAACAATAAATAAGAATATGACTAGAGGAATACTGTTTTTTATAAAGGAGTTCAATGGTTCGACACAATGCATTGCATGCTGCCTTATTGCTAGTTGGGCGCATAATACTATGATAGTGGTAGACAAATATCCACATCATCAATGGTATATTAAGAGTATCCACATCAGTGGATATTAGGGAGATAATGTCAGATGAGTTATTTTAGGTGGGGATAATAACAAATTTGGGGTGGGATTATTTGTGGAGATATTTATCTTGCAAGTTCAAAGATAATGGCAGAAAAAGAAGAAAAAGAAAGAAAAGAAAAAGGGGCTGCTGTGCGCATTTAGCGCACAGCAACCCGCCCACACGGGCGCGTGGGCGACTCGGCGCGCCTGACCCTTTTTTTTTTTTTTTTTTTAAATTTTTGATTTTGATTTTTTTATTTTTTTTTCCTCCCCTTCCCACATTCTCTCTCCTAATCACTCTTACATTATCTCCCAATTCTCAATAGATGGGATATTGAGAAATAATGTGTTATAAGTGAACTCTTCAAATATTCTTCAATATTGTGGATAGCCCATAATCTAGAGAAAGTTTATTTGCATAAATGGAAATTAGGAAATCTAGAACAATAGAAATTGCTTGATACAAATTTTGAAAAAAAAAATAATTTTTAGGGAGGGCTTAGTTCATTTTAAATCATATTGATAGAGGAGTGGGGCATGGCCACGGAGCAAGGGCACCATCTAAGTCCTCCAGAAGAGAAAGTTGCGCGATGTCAGCTTTATGGAGACGAAGTGGTGCGCGGATGCGAGAGGGTTTAGGGTGGTGGCCGGAGGAGCGGCGGTGGCGGCAGTAATTGTCCGTTCTGATGAATTGGTGGACATATCGGAAGAGGTGGTGGTGGTTGCCGACGGTTTAGAAAGGTCGAAGGGGATGATCGGCGGTGGTGTTTGGAGATTTTAGGAGAGAGAATCTAACATAGGTTAGCTGATACCAGATAAGATAGGTAATTGTGTATTCAGATGCAAAAGGATATGAGTTACAATACTAATGCTAAACACTCTACGTAAAACATTCCTACCTAATAGGATAGCCATAGAATACTAACATATTTACAACATTATTAAAAGATATAACAATATAGATTAATAACATTACTAACAAGGAGATAATTGGAACCTATGGGTAAGATTTTTGGGGTCTAGATAGGAAGAGAATAAAGTCAAGGGCATGAATTGAGCTAAAGAGTAGAGTAATATGGGCTAGGGTGCAAATGTTGGAGGGATAGGTCTAAAGTGGGACAACACCAAAAGTTTAGAGGGTTAGGGTGCAAATACTTGATGGATGGAGTTTGAAGTGGGACAAAGCAAAAAAGTTAAGGGGTTAGGATGTAATATTGAGAGGATCGAGTAGAAAGTGGGACATGAGTTAAAGCCCAAAGGTTAGGATGCAAATATTTTGGGAGCAAGTGATATGACTTCAGATGTTTTACTAATTTGATTTTAGGTAAATTTGATGCTGATGATGACTCACTTTGAGAGGAGTGACTAGTTGACGCACTATCGTCGGTGAGACTCAATTTCTGATCATTTTTTTAACTTTGCACTTTTATGATCAATTGAACTACACATGCGGATTATACATTTTTACTCGTACTCTAATCAAAAGTTGATATTTGAGATTCATCATTTGATACAATCTTTGAGAGAATCAAAAATTATTTGTTTAGATTTACATCAAAGCTCATAATCTCATAAATTATATATATATATATATATATATATATATATATATATATATATATATAATTTGGTTAAAAGTTAAATTACCCTAATAAGATGGAATGATACCAATCGTTATACCGTGCACCACGGCGCACATAGCACTGTGCGTTCCGCGCCTCCCAAAACGACATCGTTTTGTTAAGTTGTTAAAAAAACCTTTGTTTCGAATACACATAAACTCATAACATAATACACATAATCTAACATAATACATAATACACATAAACTTTTAACTGAATACACATAATGGGGTTTGGTTAACATAATACACATAAACTCTTAACTGAATACACATAAACTCATAACACAATAAACATAAATTTTTACCTGAATACCAATGTTGTAAAACACATTAGGCGCCAAGGGGGCGCCTAGCGTCTAGGCGCCGATTTATTTTTTTTTTTTAATTGTTTTATTTTTATTTTTATTTTTTTAATTAAAAAAAATAAAAATTAAAAAATATCAAAATTCACTAATAAAAAATAAGGTTCCCATAGTTATTTTTTAGAAACTATTTACGTAGGTGGTTGTAAAATTGTTCAAAAGATTGTTTAAACCATCTAAATACATTAAAAAAAAAAACTAAAATTAAGAGCTAAAAAAGCATTTTTTTAAGAAATTAGTGGGCCAAACCGCCTACGTGATTTGAAATTTTTTTTTTTGTCCAAAACGGACAACCGAGTCAAAAGTTATGTCTTCTCGAACTTTTCTAACTTTACAACGCTAAAAATAAATAAATAAATAAATAAAATAAAATAAAAACCGGCGGTTTGGCCGGCTAGGCGAAGGAGGCCGATTCCGGCCTTCCTCGCGACGGCCAGGGGCCGCCTAGCGCCTAAGCGCGATTTTTGCAACACTGCTGAATACACATAATGGAGTTTGGTCTGTTCGGACGGACGGAGTGACGTCAGCATAAAATGCTTGTGTTTTGTGCCTTGGCGCACATTGCTATGTGCTCCGTGGTGCACGATATAAATTACCGAATGATACTCATTTATAAATAGGAATTAAAATTTTTAATTAAATGAATAATCAAAACCATAATTATGTTTTAAAAAGTTGACAACCAAATACTAACTATGATTTTGATTCTCATTAACCAAATATACCCTAAATAAAGTCATATGGAAATGCCACAATTCAAGTGCTAAGAACTCAATCATTAGATCATGAACCATGTGTTCACATTAAAAGGTAAATAAGTAATATATAAATTCAATTTTATTATATTAAAAGCTTATTTTTAATGTATTACATATTTATTTTTTGAAAAATTCATTTTTAATATACTAAAAAAAAATATAATACGTTCAAGATAAATATTTAGCAGTGATTCACCTTATAATATATACTATGATCTACCGTATAATTTAGCCTAATAACTATTGCGGATCTAATGCCTAACTGCCTAAGCAGTGAATTTTTCATTCACAAGCGCCAAACCCACCCTCCCCCCCCCTCCCCCCCCCCCCAAAAAAAAATAATAATAATAAAATAATAATAATAATAATAATAATAATAATAATAATAATAATAATAATAATATAAAATTCTCTATATTTGTATTTTTCAGCTGCACCTTTAATTTAATTTTCAATAATACGCCTACTATATTTGGTAAATAGGAGATGGAGTAGTTGTATCTACAACTCAAGAAGCAAAGACCACGTGACACATGGGAAGACATCATTGTCAGTTCAAACGGTAGTAGTCCTTTATAATGTTTATAATGAACTATCATTAAACAAAAAACAAAAAAAAACAAAAAAAAAAAACAAAAAAAAAGAACTAAATACTGATGTGGCATATCTTTAGTTAATTAAAAAAAAATTGATAATCTCATATAACAACCTACTTTTCTCTTGAGTTGAGTGAGTGAAACATAATTTTTATAACATAAAATAAATTTCGTTATTTTCAACAAATTTTCAATCAAATTCATCATAGACATAAAAGTAGAATTTATACAATGGACACCTCATGATGTGTTATTAAATGGAAAATGCCAGGCCATCTCAAAACAATTCCTTCTATCAGAGAATAATGTGAGGACTAATACAGACAAAAATGAGTAAACCAAAACGTAACGCAAATTAAAAAATTCCCATTTTGACTCCTAAAACTCTCCTCTTTGATTGCAAACTCACATGCATTTTTATTCCCTTTCTCCAATCAACATTCCTTGCCTTTTTGGGAAGTATCATTACATAACTCCTCAAAACATCAATGTCCATAACTGCTCAGATCATGAATAAACTCCATTATAGTTTTGAAATTAAATATTTAACACGATTATTTTAGACAAAAAACCAACCCTAATTCCAAGGTTCCACCCAAAACCTTCATTAGCATTCACCTTTTTATTTCCTTTTTTGAAAATTATAAGGCTATACTTTGAAATTGAATTTTCCAACCCTTTAGTGTTTGGTACACGTTATACATCACCTTGTTTGATTCGAGTTATGAGATTACCCGATAATGTTATAATACCTTAAAGATGATGTGACGACGATAATGTTTCCAATTTTAATCCACCACTATTGTTTGTGTCAAAATTCATCACACCAGTCACCCCTCCATTACAGATCCTAATTTGAACATGAATAAAGAGATTTAAGCACACGACTGATTCTAATTCGCAATTCTCCTTATCATCCTACCTTAATTTGATAAAGATAATTGTAAATTAGAATCAATCTTAAGGCTTAAATCCATTTACTCATGCTCAAATTGAAATATTAATTTGAAAAGAACAAAAATACCCTTAATAATTTTTAAATAAAGGGGTGATCGACATGAAAATTTTTGACACTAAAACAATAGTCATAGATGAAAATTAGTATTAAAAGTCTAAAATGATAAAAATTTATAAGAATTAAACATGTGAACCAAAACTGTCATTTTGTTAATACTCATGAGACCAAAATTGGTATTTGCTCCAAAAATCAATAGTACAATAAAAGGTTCCTTCAAAATCACTATAACTAGAGACTAAACTTTTTTCCAAAATAACAATAATAATGATAATAATAACATAATAACCAACCTATTTCTATTGATACCATAAGTCATTAGCTGTACAATCATCTGTGATACAACATCATTGGATACCGCCCAATGCCCAAGTCCTATGAAGAAGCAGCAGCAACTGTGGCTTCTTCAAGTTCATCAGACTCAGACTCTGCTGCTGAGATCAATGAAGCCGATTGGATTTTTCCAGTCTGATCAAGCCGCATCAGAATAACTCCTCTGCCGGTGGAAAAACAAAAATTACATACATGAGGTCATAACAACATCCTCAACGAGAGGCAAATGACATTAGAGAAACACTGCTGACACAACATGAAAACAAAATCTACGAGAAAAAATGAGGTTATAATGAACAAAATTCACCATTCAAGAGGACTGAACAGAATTGCAAAATTTTATTTTTATTTCACTATCACCAAACCCCATAGCCCCTGGTAATATCAGTCCTAAGAACATCAATGCAGGTCCCCCTCTCACTACCACACCATGCATGCATATTTGAACTAAAAGAAGTCTCTGAAAAAGACAACAATTATTTGTTTGCCATTGCAACATTAACAGTCATTATTTAATAGTAAGATTTAGTTGGATGTGCACCTTGAAAACCGTGATTGAACAGATATATCCCGAACTTTTATCCGGTTCACAGTTCCACTCTGGCTCACAAGAACAACTTGTTCAACACTTTCACCATCATCTGCTACAACAAATCATAGCCTAATTATCATCATTAGTGAGATACAAGATTGCTATGACACAACTTCCTCCACATATGAGAGATGAATGTCATGAGATTAACATACACCTGTTATACAAAAGTTTATCTTTACAATTAATTAGTTATTGAACTTTTCTGTCAGTACTATCAAGTTGCAGTTGGAACTTACTATCCTAGTTTCAGTCCCCAAACAATAGGTGTGTTTTACTTCTAATGCCCAATTATTAATTTGGACAAGAGCAGTCCCTGACAATTGGATTATGTCATTGGACTAGAAATTCAGAGATCAATAAATACGAATTTGTACAAATGTTAAATGCCATGGGTAACCCAGGTTTGAGTGCATTAAAATTCAACAAGGTAACTGTTTTCCTTAATCAGTTCAAACTTCAAAGAATGTAGGAGGCAACTGTATCTTATATGGTTGAAACAAAAAGGAAAAGCTGCTAATTCAGCAGCCATAAACCCATGGCAATGATTCTAATCAATGACAAGTTTGAGAATCCTAATCTTGATGGGATGCAGATGGTAGAGACTAAAGAGGAGTTTAGGGTCTTAAATTGCCATCAGACCTGATCTTTTCTACTGCTTAACCATCATTTTTTGCAGTGTTATTTTTGTGAATAAAAACTAAATGATGAGTGTTCATAAAAGAATCTACAACATTACCTCCCAGAGAAAACCCAACAACAAATACTGCTGCCAGCCGATCTTCAGATGAAAGCTGTGAAAATTCAAGAGAGGATTGCAAAAACCTTCCTCAGTAATTTTTTTTTTTTAAAAATTAAAAATGAAAACTTCTTTCTACATCCATAATTATTGCTAATGATAATGAAGACAAATTACCTTGTAACCTCTTAAACCAACTCTGTTCAAAGGTGATGTGCGAAACCGGCTGAGAGGGACTCTCTTTCCTAAACCACTCTCAGACACAAACAACAGCCATGGGCCTTTTGTGCTCTTACCACTGCACAAAAACAGCATAATGAATATGCAATTGTCAGTATATTAACAATAATATCAAAACTAAAGGATGAATATGGAAAGCCAATAATGAGATAAACATTCAAATATACTGAAAATATAAATTAATGAATTGAACATGAGGGAATGGTTGTCCAGGGGAAATTCCAAATCTAAATTCAAGTGGTACATATACATGACAATTCTGTGCTTGAAAATTACAATCACAATACTGACTTAGAGAAAGGGTAGAACAATACACAAGGTTCCTGCCCCATACAAGTATGAGAAGATGGCAAGTTTGAGGAAGTGCTGTGAGTGTGCACGTGTCTGATGATTCTGTGTTTTTACAATTCTGGTCCTAACATAAAGAAAGGATAGGACACGATACACGAGGTTCCTGTGTCATGAGTATAAGGAAGTGTTTGTGTTTTGGGAAAGTGACAGTAACCATACAAATTATCCCCTATTAAGTTTTGCAGCTTGCCTAAAGCACACTCCAGATAAAAGTATAAAGCGATAAAATCTGAAGACAGCAAACCCAAATAATCCCCTATTAAGCTTTGAAGCTTGCATAAGGCATACTCCATATAAAGTAATATAATCTAAAAGTAAGAATTTAACAATATTTGCAAAGATTAAAAAATTATTACCTTTTGTCAGCTTCTGTAACTTTCCCAAAATCACTCCACAAAGCAGCTGGTATTATGTCCATGCTAGCCATTTTATCCCCTTCTTTCAGTCTCATAGCAACTGAGCCCCGAGTATGCCTTCCTTGTGCTCTTACCTATCACAAAACAGTGAAAATAAATGAATAAAAAATAATATCAATGTTCACAGCAGTCATTTTCAACAACTCAGAATCATACTGTTAGACATAGGATTAAATGATAGATGAAATTATATAGATAAATAAACAACACACTTTTTTTATAGAAACACACTATTGAATTCACTTAATTATAAGGTTCTTGTAGAATATTTCCATTTAACAAAGAAATTCAACAGTAATAAAAAGTATTTCTTGACTTGTGAGTACTGTGAGCTATTCAGCAGTTGATTACTCTGCCAAAAATTAGTTTTACCTCCCAAATGTAGATAGATGGTAATGTCAACAAAGAGAACATACTGCAAACAAGTTAGCTATTTCTTCCCAGTAACTACTAACTACTATGATTCAAGAACTTACTTAACACTAGTATCAGTTTAAAGTTAGTTTTGTAAGTGGTGTTAATCTTCTTTATGCAATAAGGTGTACGTACTTTCACACTTCTATTTTAAACTACTCCAAAATTGTGTGAGATTAGTAACTTAGAATAACAGTAGTTCTTAATTTAAAAAGTGGTATGCACATTGGGATTCTGAATAAAATAAAAAAGGCTCATGAAGCTATAACCCACCCTAAGTCATAGGAAGTCCAATTTGTGAACATCTATGTCATTAAGTAGCCTTCTAAAAAGTGCAAACCCACTATGCAGAGTTGAGGTTGAAAGTGTGATAAATATCATGTTAATGTGAGTTTCTGAACAGTTTATGCTCCTCTTAAATGTTAAATCATTTGTTAAGTTTCTTGGTCTATCGAAACAGAACATTTCTAAGGCAGTATCATAATCCATTAGATCAAGATAGGACAAAGAACAAAGGAAGTGTTTGGCAAATAGTTGTTAGCAGATTGGGTTAGCGGGTTTGACTAGATGATAGTATTAGCTGGTTGTAGAAAGATGTTTGGTAAATTAATTGTTATCTGATAGGTGATTACATGCAAAATGACCTTTAAGGGTATAATTTATTTTCTCAAAAAGCTTGTTGAAAAGCAGCTTTTTAAATTTTTAGCGTTTTGGAGCAATAAGGCATAAGCTGTTACAAAAAGCAGATTAATAAAACACTCATGTTGGTAACCAAGTCAAACAGCTAATAGTGGCCAAACAAGCCAAAATTGGCTGATAAGCTATGTTACTAAACAGGGCCAAAGAGTTTTCATTAAAAATTGGTTTTGGTGAAATTTGTGGAATGTGGAAAACTAGAGGATGTGGTCATAAATGATCTTGGTCTGAACTTGAGTCTGGGCTGGGTAAAATTTAAACAATTAAACTACATGTGAACACAGCAAATTTTTGTATGCCCTATTTTAGCTCCACACGATTTCCCCTAATCTATGAATTGGAGGATTGTATAACTTTAAATTATTAGTTTATTACTACACCAGAACAGCAGACTGTCAATTTAGCTTTGAATATCAATCATTAGAGGAATTTCCAATCCAGCAAAAGCTTTATAGCTTTTCTTGAGTACGAACTTTACTACTTTTCATGAGAAAGCATTTTTTCAATTCCGCATTTAGAAGAAACAAATAAAGACCTAATGTCTTTTTTCTATTTAATATAAAATAAACATTAATAACTCACATTTTCACAAGGACTCAAAATAACCATTGCATTTTGTGAAGCCATTGCTACCAAATCATCATTAGTGCAACGCCCCACCCATTTGAGTTCATCACCAGGGACCTGTCAAGTAAAGGTATTGTGTTTGAGTTTTATCATAACACCAAATAGCCAATACAATAACACCAAAAAGAAGTGACGAACCAATAGAATCGCTGCGATTCCTGTCGATCTGATTGAGGAGAAAAAGTTTAAAGACACTTTCTTTATATAACCTTTTGCTGTGACCATAATAAGAAATTGATCCTCCATGAATTCATCCACAGGAATAATTGATGTAATTCTCTCACCTTCAGACAAGGACAATATCTGGATCCAGGATGAAGAAACTTGAAGTAAATAAGAATTGGAATAAATAAAGAAAATTAAAAATTAAAAAAAATAGCTAGGGTAATACCCGAACTAAGGGGGTGCCAGTAGCAGCTCGACTACATTCAGGTATCTTGTAAGCTCGAGCAGAGTACACTGTACCTTTATCACTGACAAAATACATGAGAAGGTAGGAATAAGATCAGCAATTTTAGATGGTACAACAGCCAATGCACGAATTAGTTTAACTACGAAGTTGAAAGGACAACATTGTGAGATGGTGAAATAGTTAAAATAAAAGACTGGACAGAGCATGAAATTAGTACCTAAAATATAGGACTTGATCATGGGCATGACAAACAATGAAATTGGACATAGCATCATCTACCCTTAATTTACCAACTGATTTACCAATAGTCCCACGGTTTTGAAGATTAAACGTATCAGGCCTCATCCGCTTAACATAACCCTTCTCACTAAATGCCTGATATTGCAAAGAAAAAGAATTTTGGGTATAGTAGATTGGAAGGATAGGACTCTATGACAAAGAAGCAGTTTAAAATACCAGAAGGATTTCATCATTTGGGATAATATCAATTTCTTCAACATGGCCACTGCCTGATTCCTCCAGCATTGAACGTCGAGGAGAGGAAAACTTGTGTTTTAGTTCAATTGCCTCGTTTTCAATTACCTGGCAGTGAAATAAAACAATATTACTCATAAGCAAAAGCAGAAAAAATATCACATATTCACATAAACAACTCAAACAGAAAGCTTAGTTTTGTGCCAAAATAATGCAAACAAAAGAGAAATAAAAATCCATTCTACAGCACCAAAGATGACACTCCGGCCTCATTGAAAGAGAAGGAAAAACCTTTCAGTAATTTAGGAGATTACAAAGAGAAAATAAACAGTTAAAAGGAGTTCAGATGAGGGGCAGAATGGGGAGTTCACAACCTGGAGTATTTTCTTTCTACTGGACAGAAGTTCTTGTAACTTGAGAATTTGTTCTGTCAAAGATTTTCCTTCAGCAACAAACTTATTTCTCTGCATTATGAAGATGATTAAATTTGAAAGAGATTGTCATTTGCCCTTAATCAATGCCATATCTTATAGAGCAAAACTAGTGAGTCACATAAATACAGCACACCTCTAGTGCTGTGAGCCTTCTTAGGCTTATATCCAATATTGCATCGGCTTGTTTCTCTGACAATCCAAATTCTGCAACAAGAATTTAAAAAATAAAATAAAAAATATTTAAGTTAGCCCTTTTCAGCAAAGAGAGAATTTTAACTAGACTTCAATCAAACTAAATATAGGATTTTAAACTAGTCCAGTGATGGTTAAACCAAAGCCCATCACACAAAGCACTCCTAGAATTTCAACCAAATTATCCCCTAATTCTCAGGAGATTGTTAACAAATGAGAGGAAGGATAACAGATCCATTTTATATATTTATATAAATACTAAATCACTTAGGGTGTGTTTGGTTTGCACATGGGAATCGGAATCGGAATGGGTATCAAATACTTGGTAATAGTAATGGGTTTTAGTGAAAGTATTTTGCATGTTTGGTAGTAGGGTGGAATGGGAATGATTATCAATAATGCTGTTTGGTTATGTATGATCCAATAATGAGAATAAAGATTTTAAAAATACAAGAACACAAAATCAAGACAACTGATTCTAATATAAAGACATCCAAAACACCAATATGAACAAAAAAATAAAAACAAAAATCTAAAAGCACTAATCAAAGGGGATGAGAAGGAATAAGGGAATGAAACGGGATGATATCCTTATTTTATTTGGGTATGGGTTTTTCAATTAAGAGGGTATTTGAAACCCATAGTAGTGTTCTAAAAACCTATCAATCAAACAATACCAATCACTTTGATACCCATTCCTTAGAGCTAAACCTGTCAACCAAACACACCCTTAATTTTTGTTGTCCAAATAAGGATCTGAAGCTATACAAAGAATGATAACATTTAGGAAGTACATGCATACACACCAAGTCACATAATTTCATCACAACAACAATAAGAAAAGGACTCTCACACTAACAATAAGAAAAGGACTCTCACGCTATGCATGCCACCAATTAAAAATCGCTAACAATAAGAAAAGGACTCTCACGCTATGCATGCCACCAATTATTATTGGCTTAATAAAAGCCAAGAGAGAGATACTTATGAGTTAAAAAAATTGAGGGGTCAATAAGATATGTAACAAATTAAAGAAAGCAAACATTGCATGGGGTACCAATAAGTTAAGAGAAAGCTTCCCACCCCAAAAAAAAAAAAAAAAAAAAAAAAACATACACACAAAAACAAAACCAAAACAAATAAAACATCAGAACAGATTTACACTACCTTTCATCAAATTCCCAGCTGCCTGTGCGTTGCTCGAGGCTTGTTTTATTATATCAATAACCATGTCCAAATTATCAAGTCCAATAATAATGCCCTTGTTTCATAAACATGAATATCAGCAAAAGAACCACTCTTTTAAAAATATAGTAATAATAGTAATAATAATAGTAATAATAATAATAATAATAATAACAATAATATTAATAATAATACCTCAACAATATGATTTCTTTCTTGTGCTTGTAAAAGTTTGAACCTTGCTCGCCTTTCAACAACCGAGCATCTAAAATCCAAAAATGCCTACATAAAGGAAATGAGTAATAATTCAGAAATATTGGTATGCATCTACAGCAAAGGAAGCTGAAGAGGTTCAAAAACAAACTTGCACACTTAGTCACAAAATATTCATACATTACTATCCTGAAGAGTTGAACAATCAACAGATTTTCTAATGTTCTATATATTGAATACAATTGAGATTGAGTCTTTATACTTGCACCATATTTCATTGCCACTAGTATTTGTTTTAAATTGCTAGGAGGCTGTAGCTAAAAGAATTTCAAAAACACCACATTTTAAATTATTTGATCTACAAATTTGAATGTTATGCATATGCAAGGAGAGCTAATTGCTAATAACTAGTCACCTGGAGCATCTCCTTCAAGCCCATCAACTTTGGTTGGCCATTGAGAATACTGACAATAAACCAACAATCACAAAGGCATATCAAGAAATATGTCAGATGATTTCAACAACATTAATAATAACTCACAAGATGCAAATTATAATGCAAGGATGTAGGCATTTAGTGCTTTCAGAAGGTTTCATCAATAAAACTTACCCAACCATGTTGCAACTAAAAGTAGACTGCAGAGCCGTATGACGATAGAGATTGTTCAATACAATAGATGAATCTGATCCTCTCTTAAGCTGGAAAGAATGAAAAGGTAAAACAACTATCATCCTATTGTCCAATAGATTAATATAAACATAAAATAATTAGACAGCTTCTGCAATTGTGTAACTACTACCTCAATGACTACACGCATTCCTGATCGATCACTCTCATCGCGTATATCACTTATCCCTTCCAAACTCTGAGAAAAAAAAATTCAACAAAATTAAATGAATTGTTCCACAGGATAACTATATATAAATAAACCAACAAATTTAGAAAGACAGACAAATACAATAAAAAGTCAAAGAGGAAAAAGGAAGAGCTAAGATTCAGACAATATCAACTCTAATATTGCAAAATATTGCAGCACAGTCACCCCATTATATGTTAATTTAAACTTTAAAACGATGCCATATAGGCATTAAGCAAGCCAAAAAGAAATATTATTTTGGAGAATAAAACGTAATACACATACTGGCTCTGAAAGTTTAGTAGGTGTTAGTTTCCATCCATTATGTAGAACCAAGTGATTGCACTATAGCACTTAAATAAGCATATTCTAGTCTTTCTAATATAAATAGAAATAATAGACAAGCCATCCATTTGAAGAATTTTAATAGATTAATGCAAATGAGAGTGACAAGTAGCAGAATAATAGTAATTACTTGTCAAAAAAACATAGTGGAACTAAATTTATTACCACTACCTCAATAACTTTTAACAAGCAGAGAGTATGCAAATAGCAGAATTATAATACCTATTTTCTAGTTATTTACTGTGAAATACTCCGTAATAAATTCACTTGATAATGAATCTAACTGTATGTTGTATACAACACTTATTTAGTTATTTTCTATTTACCACCATATTTGCTCTGGTCTATAATGAAAAAAAAAATAAATAAATAATAATAATAATAATAATAATAATAATGAAAATAATAACAATTATCTATTAGAATCTTAGATTGGGCTAGGGTCACTCAATTGGGCTAAAATATAATGCACACGGACCAAACCACACTAAAAGATTGAAGCCAACCAATTAGCTAGTCTAACCCATGGCTTCTCTCTTATTTTATCAATGTGGGACTCTTAACATAGCAAACTGTACAATACTTTTAGAAAGTTCTTCTTCATGATATCTTTAAGAAATATTAAATGCAAATGCTGAAGAGAGAGAGAGAACAGCAACTCTTTTTCCAACATAATGGCAAGACATATTACATGTGCTTCACCTTTTTCACCACAAGAAATAAAGACTGAGAAACTCAGTACACTTTTACCACAGAATTTACAAAGAACATAAACCGCATAAATTTAACAAGTGCAAATACAAAATCATAGAAAAACATCATTAATTGTATATCTCATTTCATCAGTGATTGAACCAAAATAAGTGGCATTTTGCAACTTATTTTAGTACATCCTAATTCCTAAGTTTCCCCCTACATGGCTACATTTTGCTTATTATCATTTAATCTAGGCTTTTGAGATCATAAATTTTGCTAATATAAAATTTTGGCGGGATTGATTTCTGTATAAGGAGAAGCTGCAAGAATAAGAACATAAGATATCAGACATCAGAATACTACCTTATTTTCCACAAGTTCAGCAATCTTCTCAACAAGAGAGGCTTTGTTTGTCTGGTAAGGTATCTGTTTCAAAAATTTTAAAAATGAAAAAAACATAGAGGTAATTCAATCCAATCCCATCTGTGAGTAGAAACAAAGCATCCTAATAAAAATTTTGTTCAGAGGGAAAAGAAATGAAACCTCTTTAATTATAATTGCAGTACGTTTTGTTTTGGAATCAAGTAATTCAATATCAGTCTTTCCTCTAACTGTTATGCTTCCTCGCCCTGTCCTGTATGCCTCCAGGATGCTTAACAAGAAAGAATACATGTCAAGTTATACACCATATTACAAAATCATGCAGGAGACACTATGTTCCATCTTAAAATCTTTTGTTTTCATTTGGATATTAAACTCTGAGGTCCCAAAACGAAAGACCCAGCAGTGTATTAAACTCCATGGTCCAAACCACCGAGCTGACTACTTGGAAGAACCTATATAGGGTGGTAATTTATGGCCTCCATTTTCACTCGATCTTAGTAAAGAGTTAAGTGTGGTTGTAAAATTGGATTTCTTTTTATATTTATTATCCTCTTTCAACAGGCAGGTGGCAAGGGAGGTAAAAACAAAACACGGTGAGGATAACCTACCCAATATTGCCCATTATGATTCCTCCTGTAGGGAAGTCAGGTCCAGGCATGTGCTCAAGTAGTTCTTGGAGCTGCAATAAACAAGGTTGCCATTATAAGTAGGCACTATGATATAAATTTCGGTAGACTACCTTTCTAACATTTTTACTGCGACAATCAATATTATTGAACAAGTGCATTGATCTCTTTGCATAAATCCATCACTGATACACAAGTCATACCACCATATTGGATTCCCAAGAAAAGTGATTGTTCAACGTATGGCCTAAGTAGAAATCATGGAGATCCAAACATCATCAAATCAAATGGAAGGCAGGTGCCCTTGTGTAAGCACCCCCAATACCTTGCTTCTGTTCTTATTAAAAAGGAAATATTGATGGTGAAGTAAATCACCAAACTGAACCAAATTGGATAAAGTGAAGATAAAATAAAAAAATATTACATCATGATGAAATTCTGGATGAAAGGAAAATTCTATTAAAAATTCTTCAAGTAGCAAAAGGAGATAAATGTTCTTGAAATGGTCTTCAATTAAGATCAAAATTAATGGGAAAAAACGAGCAAATTATCAAAAATTTCACTCCAAGCAAGGAATGAGCATCTATTGAGAATAATTCACAGAACACTAATTACAATAGTTTTGTGACATCTATACAATCAATTAAGATAGTTTAGATAATCCAATGTAGACCTATAGATGCAGAATAAAAATGAGTAATGGCATGGCAGTAATCAGACAACATACTTCTGCTCATTGGGAGAAAAGAACAAGGAAAAAGAAACAGAGTCCTAAAGTAAAACTATACAAATAAAAAGGAGCAGCTCTCCAAAGAATATAGCTAATCTGAAAATGACGTGAAATAATTAAATGAATCTCTACCGTTGCTTCTGGATTATGAATTAAGGAAGAGAGTGCATCAACAAGCTCTCCAAGATTGTGTGGAGGGATATTTGTGGCCATGCCAACCTGAAAGCATAAAGAACCAATAAAATCCCTAACATGCATTGCATTATGAAAGGATATTTAAATGTATGCATACAAAAGAATATTAGACTTCACAAGTAAAATCAGATGCTATTGAGTAGATCAGGTCAATTACCGCAATGCCAGAGGCACCATTCAGAAGAAGGCTCGGAATCCTAGCAGGAAGCAATGAGGGTTCTCTTTGGGAGTTGTCAAAATTTGGGACAAAATCAACCTGTTAAACATTATATCAAAAGTTAAAAACACAGAAGTGACTCATGAACTACATTCCAATAAGGCAATAATCCAATATAGAAGAATACATACTGTATTTTGATCAATATCTGAAAGCAGCATTGCCTCCGTAAGCGGCTGAAAATGAAACCATTTAATAACATTGTCAGCATGAAGAAAAGCAAAGCAGATATCTGCCTAAACCTCACAAGAGAAAGGAATTAAATGAAAGCAGTTGGCTCAAACATTGGTATTCGAATCGGAATCAAAACAAAATATGAAGGAATGGTAATTGATTTTAATTTTTAATAAAAGAAGTCTTGCCTATTTGGTATAAAAATATAAATGAGAATCAATAATAGTTCTAATTTTTTTTATAGGAAGCTAACAGTGTGCTCACTCTTTCAATTATTTTTCTTTCAAAATCACCAGCCTTGATCAACCTACCTTTGTGTTGAAGGTTTCAGTACAGATTTGCTCACTCTAGTACTGTAGTTATGAGGATGATAAGCAAGGATAGCAATGGTAAAGTGGCTGTGCAACAGCAATGGTGGCCAAGGTAATGAGGAAGCTGGGTGAGGTTGAGAAAGGGTGACAAAGGTAATGTGTCTGCTCACTCTGTTTATTTCTTTTTTTTTTTTTAATTTTCATTTTTCTTCCTTTCTCCACATTTTCCATTCCGTAGTCAAAACCCATGGTAGGAGTCTGTAATCAGAAAAGCCATTCCAGATGTTTTTGACTTTCATGCCATAGTAGGTACTTCTTCAAACAAACAAAAATAAGGATTCAATTTCCATTCCCATACTTGAAACCAAGAGCACCCACCCTCTCTTGTCCAGATAAAATAACCTGATACTTTCACTTCTCTAGGGATGAAAAAAATTAAAAAGTTAGCTAAAAAGATGACACTCAAAGCTCCAAATATAATTCAATGGTTGTCCCGATAAAAAAGTTGAAAATTTTGAAACTAAAATTGTTTTAAAAGAGTCTTACAATAGATTCAAGAATGAAGAGACAAAATAAACATAAAAATAACTTTCTTTACTACCACCTTCACTTATGTAACACACCAAATTATTCAAATAAACATATCCTAGAAAAAAAATAGCATTCACCTACATCCAATCTGCACTCAGTGTATCGCATTGCTGCAGCAGGATCTGCATCAATCGACCCAAAGTTCCCGTGTCCTTGAATAAGTGGAAAGCGCAAGGAAAAATCCTGAAGAAACAAAAGCTTTAGTATGCTTACAAACAAGAACAATATTAAGTACAGATGAGATATAAAAACAATCAATTAAAGCTTAAAAATGCAAACAACTCTGAAGTCAATATTAGTGTGTTTGATTATTCCAAAAAATAATACCATGATAATAGCAACAGTGTAATACCAACAGCAACTTCTTGTAATGCAGCAAGCATAATATTAAATGAATACATTTACAACAAGACAGAGATTTAATGTCTTTCTATTTTCTTGTACACTACATTTACAACAAGACAGAGATTTCCTATGTCAATTTTACATAGAGCTATAGGGAGAAGTTGGAATGAGGCATACTAATATTAAAAAATTTGACACTTAAAAGAAAGATTTGTTTTACCTGTGCCATTCTCACCAAGGAATCATAAACAGCATTATCTCCATGTGGATGGAACTTGCCAAGAACCTGTAGTTGAAAAGAAGAAACAGAGAATGAAAACAAGCTGTGAATTCCTTTTTGATACACCACAATTTCATTATTGAATTATAATGAGGTATAAATGGACACAAGCAGAAATTATGGTACAAATGAATACAAAGAAATATATTTTTAGCTGCATGCCTACCTCTCCAACAACTCTTGCACATTTCTTGTATGGCTTCTTTGAAGAAAGACCAAGTTCATGCATTGCAAACCTGTAGTCAATATTTGAAATAAGGACGCATCAATCACAATAATCAGCAGATATACTCCATAACAATTAGAAAACAAAATCAGCAAAGTGCTAAATGGACAGAACTACTGCACTTCCTTTCTTTAACAAGTAAATAAACAACTAGCGGACAAAGAAACAGCACTAGACATATTTTTCAGGCTAATTTTTATAACACTATTATATTACTGCACTTACTAACTGAATTACAGTCAAGACTTACTAATAGAAGTGGCAACAAAGGTATCACTAAGCTATGATAAGGAAAATTTAGTTTCTTTGATGCAGGATTAAATTACATAAACAAAATAGAACCATGAAATGACAGTAACAACTTGGCAAAACTTGTATATTGTATTGGTTCCATCAAGCATTTAAAAAAAAAAAATATCATCTTGTTCCCCGAATTTAGTGAAGAGTGCAAGGGAAGAAAAGCTAAACGAACGATTCACTATCTGTAAAACAATGTTGAAATTGAAAAGACTATTGACAAATCCCTCTCTTTAGAGAATCTAATCCTAAAAGCAATATATGTGTTTACGATGCCCAGGACTTTATGAAAGAAAGGAGTTCTTCTATATATACTAGTTGTTTTACTCATTGCTCTCTGACATGGCTATTGGTGGTAGTGGTCAGAATTGACAGACCAATTTTTTCCTTCTTTTGTTTCCATCCAATTAATGAGAGACGAGAAGGGATTCGTGGCATTTTCCTAAAAAAGAGCTCCAATACTAGGTCTTTGAAACGGTTGAAGAGCCCAGTTCAGAAATTTCAGTTGCACATTCACATCAATACTACTGCAACTTCAAAATATAACCGATTAGGCCTCACATTCGGTTCCAGTTCACAAAACATGTAAAGCAATCACTCACAGTATCCGCCGGTGCACCGGTTTCAACCCGTCACGAACATCAGGCAGCGCTCGCCCGAGTAGCACTGACATGGCATACGACATGTACGCATCGGTGGCCTCCTTGTGGAGCTCAGTAGCGACAATCCTACCCTCGCCTCCACCACTCCCAATGCCACCACCATCACTCACAATGACGCTTCCGTTCACTGTATCCCCACCATCCGCCGCCTCAACTTCCCCCCGCGTAGCACTCACTGGGCGCACACGTCTCCTCTGAGGAACCGCGGCGGAGAGGAACCGGAGCTCCGACGCTCCTCTTCGGAGCCCCGGAAATGGAGGCACTCGAGCTGGGAGAGTGAGCCGGTGGTGGTATCTGCATAATAACCGGAATCCGGTGGTGAAGGCCATCGGTTTAGATAGTCGAAGTCCAGATGTAAGGTGAAAACTGTGAACATTCATGCCATAGAACAGTATAGAGAATAGAGATTGTGAGAGCAAATTGCAGAGTTATCTGTGGCCTGTGAGTTTGTCTACGACTGTGAGAAATTCAATCCAAATCCAAAAAAGCATATAATCAAATAAATATTAAAACCCTAGTGCAGCCATTTTTGGGTTACTTGCGCGCCAGTTTCCTCACAAATTTAATTGATGAGAATATATAAGAATATTAAATCTGTAGTTTATAATTGCAATGTTTTGAAGGAATATTACTATAAATTATAATGGACGGTACTACAACTATTATTATTTTTAACCAATGTTATTGGCTATTGTAATTTTTTTGTTAGATCACGAGATACTGTAAGTATGAGTTTTTTGTACTTTTGGTCCCATAACTATAGTGACACTAGCATAATTGATCTACGACTTTTGAACCTTACAATTTTAGCCCACGACTATTGATTTTTTTGCAAAAATGGTCCTTTCGGCCACTTTTCCGTCAAAATTTCACCGGAAAAAAAAAAATTCTCCATTTTTAACAGGGCTAAAATTGACATTTTACTTATCTCAACAAAAAAATATATATATATATATATAAGCGATTGCATTTGAGAATCTCCGCCGCTTCTCTCGCCGAAAATTTATACAGCGAAGCTTTTCCGATGTCTTCGAATGATCCGGCAGGGGTACTGGCTCCGCCTCCAATGCTGCTGCCGGATAACCCAACTAGCCCGGGGAACGCCACGGCCGCTCCGTCGCTTACTAACAGCCCTGCCGGATAATTATAGAACTTTATGTTCATAATTCTTGAACTCTATATTCACAACGTCTCGTTGAATTGTTTTGACAAATTTAAAAAAAAAAAAAAATTATGATTGGTGGCAGAAAAAGGAGCCAATAACGGCATCGTTACTCCAAAATCACCAAACAGTGTCGTATACTCATATTGAAACTGTGTCCACCTTACACGGCATAACAATTGTACTTGTATGGAGGAGGCTTTTGACGCTTATGGTGGATCTAAAAATGTTCTAGAGATGGGTCATGTTCATTAGACCCACTTAGCCCAATGAATTGTTTAAGTTGGAATTGTTGTGGGCTTGACAACCGATATACAGTTCAAGTCCTAGTGGACTTGGTCAACTCAAAGAGACGACAATTATTTTTTTCTTATGGAAACCATATTAGAACAAAATAAGTTGCAGTGTTAAAAATATTAAACCGGGATTCAATTGAGGATTAGCTTTGTTTCGGAAGGAAGAGATGAATGACTGAACATCTTATAAGTTATAACTAAGTATATAGTACGGAGTATATTATAATTGGTACAATCGGCACGAAAGAAAAATTATATAAAATATTATTTTTGTTATAATTACCCATATATAATATATCTATATATATATTTTATATTAAATTAATTCTATAAATGTGTGTCAATTTCTTATTGATTGATCAAAAATTATTTCAACCCCGTTTTTATTTCTTGACTGGATATAATTAATAATTATATTTAGATTTATTATTATTATTACAGAGTATTAGTTATGTGCATAATCTAAAATATAATATTGTCTAATCCTTAAAATCCTATTTAAAACGGGATTATGATTTGGATTTGTCCTAAATTGTCCTTAACTAGGAGATTAGAAGTAGTCATTCAACAATTCTTCTATATAAATAGCCCCATTAATCAACTCCACTAAAGGAAAAGAAAAAAAAAAAAGCCAGAGATCATCATATCAGAGTTACGTTGTGGTCATGGCTTCTTGCAGTGGTAATAAACTACCTAACGGCTATGGTGATGAATATGAGTGGAAGAGAAGCCTGCCTCCCGGACATGGTTTTTATCCCACCGATCAAGAACTCATTACCAAATATCTCAAATATAGGGCTCAAAATCTGAAAATTCACCCGGGAATCATTAACGATCTTGATATTTACAACCATCATCCTAAAGAACTTGAAGGTATAGTAGTTTAATTTGTAACGCTAATTAATTTAGGGTGTGTTTAATTGGTTCGTAATCGGAATGAATATCAAATACTTGGTAATGATAATGAGTTTTGGTAAAAGTATTTTTCAAAGTTTGGTAGTATGGTGGAATATGAATGATTATCAATATTGCTGTTTGATTATGTATGAGAAGGAATAATAGAATGAAACCCTTATTTTATTAGAGAATGAGTGGAGTAATCAAAACCCATAATAGTGTTTTCAAAACCTATCAACCAAACAATAACAATGACTTTGATACCCATTCCTGATAGCTAAACCTGTAAACCAAACACAGCCCTTAATTTGCTTATTTCTTATGGTTATTTCTACTTAAAATCTGAGAAATTAATTTTACGTACATGTAATATATGTATGTATATGCAGGTGCTTATGGTTTGAATGAATGGAATGGGCGAATGTATTTCTTTACGGCGTTCAAGAGGAAGACTAAAGAGGGAAAGAGAGGCGACAGGGCGGTGGGCGGTGGGAAGGGTTTCTGGAAAGCCTCTCAGGCACGAGAAAAGGTGAAAGACGACGAGGGAGTGGTGATCGGCACCAAACAACCCCTGGTGTTTCACGATGGTAAAGGCACCAAAACTTCTTGGCTCATGTCAGAGTTTCGATATCCTGAAAATTTCAATCCTCTCCCACTTTATAATCAGGTACTCAAATCTTCTTATCTACTTTAAATTTATTTTAATGTGTTAAATATTTAATATTAGGGATGTCAATGTACCTCAAACATGTATGTAAGCCTGTAAGGTAATTAGGGTCGCAGTCAGATGTGAACCAGCCTTAAACGTGCGAACTACGAATTATTGTAACGCAATTACTACATGAATGCACCGCAATTTTCTCCAGACATGTCTAAGAGTCGTTACAGTGTATTCATGTAGAAGTTGCGGTGCAATCCTTTCAGTAGTTCGCAGGTTATAACTAATTCACATTTGGACGGCTATCAAGTACTCAAACTCGTTTAACAGATTTTAGCAAAATAAATATTTAATTAGAACTAAAGACTATTCAAGTGACGACTAAAATGTAAATAAAAAGATATGAGATTCAGTACTTTTATTTATACATTTAAGTTATGTTCTTAATATGCTATTTTAATAGAGTAATTTAATAGTGTTTTTTTAATAAAGTAATATATATTTCTTTGCTAAATATTTTTGTTTTAACCTGAAAATTATTTTACCATATGTTGTCAAATGCAGACAGAACATGAGTTGGCACTTTGTGTGATCTATTATCACGGAGAGAGGAACATCATAGGCAACAATCAAGAATCTAAGAGCAACAACACAAATCCTATGAAGAGGAACATCATATGCAACAATCAAGAATCTAAGAGCAACAACACAAATCCTATGAAGAGGAACATCATATGCAACAATCAAGAATCTAAGAGCAACAACACAAATCCTATGAAGAGGAACATCATAGGCAACAATCAAGAATATAAGAGCAATAACACAAATCCTATGAAGAATCTCCAAAGCTCTCATCTCATTCCAACTCCTTGTCCAAACCCTAACTTCACTACAACTTCAAACTTGCAAAACCCCAATCACCCACCATATCCAACCCTAAACCCTAACTTTAATGCAACTTTTGCCAGGCAAAGTCCCAATCACTTACCATCACCAGCCCAAAACTCAAACTTCATTGCAACTTCATCTCTATATCCAACCCAAAACCCTAACTTCAGTGCAACTTTTACCATGCAAAACCCCAATCACCCACCATCACCAACCCAAAACCCTAACTTCATTGCAACTACTTCATCTATGCAAAACCCCAATCACTCACTATCTTTTGCCCAAAACCCGAACTTCATTGTAGCTTCCTCTCTGCGTAACCCCAATCACTCACTATCTTCATCTCAAAACTCTACCTTCATTGCAACTTCATCCCAGCAAAACTTCCATCACTCACAACCTTCAACCCAAAACCTTAACTCCATTGCAACTTCTTCAATCCAACAAAATCCAAATCTTCCACAATGTTCGTTAGCCCAAAACTCTGCCCTGCCAGATGCTTGGAATGAATTCTTTCCTTTATTCACTGCTGAGGATATCCACCCCGCATATTTAAACAATGACGGCAATGAGGACGTTTTCCAATTTCATTTTCTATCATACTATTCAGACAACAAGGACAAGTCTTCTTAGAAGAGTAACATCTTTCTTTTTCTTCTTCCAGGTTTATGTTGTATCAATCTGAAGGTAGAAGTGAAATGAGACGGGACTTTCATTGCGTCTGAATTCTGCTGCTGCGATTAGAATTTATGTGTATTTATATCTATCATGCATGTTACTTCAAATTTATAATGTATATATGCATGATTCAAACGAATTTGGTCCATGAAAGACAAATGCGTGATTTTAAGTGTTGTATTATATGTATTTCATTATTTTCATTCCACTTAATATCTTGCTCTATTATTTTTCAATTTTGTTGTCTTATTAGTGTGTTTGATTATTCCAAAAAATAATACCATGATAATAGCAACAGTGTAATACCAACAGCAACTTCTTGTAATGCAGCAAGCATAATATTAAATGAATACATTTACAAGAAGACAGAGATTTAATGTCTTTCTATTTTCTTGCACACTACTTAGTACTACACCTTCATAATCCTATGTCAATTTTACATATAGCTATAGGGAGAAGTTGGAATGAGGCATGCTAATATTAAAAAATTTGACACTTTAAAGAAAGATTTGTTTTACCTGTGCCATTCTCACCAAGGAATCATAAACAGCATTATCTCCATGTGGATGGAACTTGCCAAGAACCTATAGTTGAAAAGAAGAAACAGAGAATGAAAACAAGCTGTGAGTTCCTTTCTGATACACCACAATTTCATTATTGAATTATAATGAGGTATAAATAGACACGAGCAGAAATTATGGTACAAATGAATACAAAGAAATATATTTTTAGATGCAAGCCTACCTCTCCAACAACTCTTGCACATTTCTTGTATGGCTTCTTTGAAGAAAGACCAAGTTCATGCATTGCAAACCTGTAGTCAATATTTGAAATAAGAAGGATGCATCAATCACAACAATCAGCAGATATACTCCATAACAATTAGAAAGCAAAATCAGCAAAGGCTAAATGGACAGAACTACTGCACTTCCTTTCTTTAACAAGTAAATAAACAACTAGCAGACAAAGAAACAGCACTAGACATATTTTTCAGGCTAATTTTTATAACATTATTATATTACTGCACTTACTAACTGAATTACAGTCAAGACTTACTAATAGAAGTGGCAACAAAGGTAATTAAGATCACTAAGCTATGATAAGGAAAATTTAGTTTCTTTGATGCAGGATTAAATTACATAAACAAAATAAAACCATGAAATGACAGTAACAACTTGGCAAAACTAGTATATTGTATTGGTTCCATCAAGCATTAAAAAAAAAAAAAAAAAGTATCATCTTGCTCCCCAAATTTAGTGAGTGCACGGAAAGATAAGCTAAACCAATGATTCACTATCTGTAAAACAATGTTGAAATTGAAAAGGCTATTGACAAATCCCTCTCTTTAGAGAGTTTAATCCTAAAAGCATTATATGTGTTTACGGGGGCCAGGACTTCCCCCCGCGTAGCACTCACTGGGCGCACACGTCTCCTCTGAGGAACCGCGGCGGAGAGGAACCGGAGCTCCGACGCTCCTCTTCGGAGCCCCGGAAATGGAGGCACTCGAGCTGGGAGAGTGAGCCGGTGGTGGTATCTGCATAATAACCGGAATCCGGTGGTGAAGGCCATCGGTTTAGATAGTGGAAGTCCAGATGTAAGGTGAAAACTGTTAACATTCATGCCATAGAACAGTATAGAGATTGTGAGAGCAGATTGCAGAGTTATCTGTGGCCTGTGAGAAATTCAATCCAAACCCGAAAAAACATATATAGTCAAATAAATATTAAAACCCTAGTGCAGATCCTCACAAATTTAATTGATGAGAAATATATAAGAATATTAAATCTGTAGTTTATTTTGCAATGTTTTGAAGGAATATTAACCAATGTTATTAGCTACTTAAATTTATTTTTTTTTGTCACCACATATTCTGAGCATGTCTTAACTGTAAATTTTTAAATTTTGATAATTATATTCTATTTAAATTTTTCTTTATTCATAATTAAATTTTGTTGTCTTATTAGTTAACTCTTTTATTCAATGATTAATAAGACAATATTAAAACATTGAAATAAAGGTCAAATAAGTCATTTAAGTGTAATTAGACTAAGCTACTCAACTTAAAAAACCTAAATTCCTAAGTTAACCAAGTTTTATTCTTCTTCTAAAAGGCTGAACATCAACCCTAAGGGACCCCACATCCCGACCCGACAGAGCATTTGGGAGGATGTAAACCAAGTTTTATTCTTGTCTTTATGACTTGTTTTTCTCTTCCTTATCCTCTTAGATAATTTTTTCTGTTATTTTCTCTGTTGTTTCTTAGTTGTCTTCCTTATTGGTTTTAGTTTTTTGCTTCCGGGTCTTGTCTATCAGGCTCCGATAGAAGTAGAAAGTGATTATTGCTGGAAAACGCTTGTGTTATTCTCACACTAGCAAATGATGATTGAGAATTTTGATAGTTCGTGATATTGACATTAATGGCATAACAATTGGTTAATGACTCAATCGTTATACCGTGGACCAGGGTTCATAGTGCACTGTGGATCCTGGTCTAATACATATAATTTGACTTCATAATATACCGAATTCATGTTCATAATGCACAAAATTTATGTCCATAATGCACATACACATAAACATTATATAATGAACATGAATTCTGTACATTATGAATATGAATTCTGTGTATTATGTTATGTGTTTATGTGTCTTTATTATATTGTGTTTACGTGTATGTGTATTATGGATATATATTTTGTACATTATAAAGTCAAATTATGTGTTGTCTTGGTCCAGGATATAAATTGCCTACTGGTTACTTCTATGGAGATTGGAGGAGGCTTTTGACAATCGTTATGCTATGGACCCATATCCAGCATGCATGCTGGACACGGTAACGATGCCGTTAGTGGCACCGTTATTTTCAACTTAAAAAAAAAAAAAAAAATTCAGACCACTTTATTATAGGAGTATATGTTCATAATTTTATCACTATATGTTCATAATTGTAAGTTCATAATGTCAGAGCTCTGTGTTCATAATTGCATAACTGTACATTCATAATTCCGTAACTGTACATTCATAATTCAATAACTGTAAATTTATAATTTTTGAAACTCTATGTTCACAATTTTAGAGCTCTATGTTTATAATTTTATCACTATATGTTCATAATTGTAAGTTCATATGTTCACAAACGAATAACGTCGTTAACACCGTTAATGGCGAGACAAAATCAATTTTTTTTAACTAAAAAACTGCATTTTTCTTTAAAACGATGTTGTTTTGGACTCGTGTCCACAATGCATTGTGGACACGAGTCCGCAGCATAATTTGCCGGCTTTTGACGCTTATGTTGGATCTATAAAAATGTTCTAGAGATGGGTCCTGTTAAACAGGCCCACTTAATCTAATGAGTTGTTTAAGTTGGAATTGTTGTGGGCTTGACAACCCACATTCAATTCAAGTCCTAGTGGACTTGGTCAACTCAAAGAGGCGACAATTGTTTTTTTCTTATGGAAACCATATTAATTAGAACAAAATAAGTTGCAGTGTTTAAAAATTAAATTGGGATTCAATTGATAGGATTGGCATAGTGGAGGATCAGCTTTGTTTCGGAAGGAAGAGATGAATATATATAAATATTCTGGGATTGAACAAGAAAGCGTTGTAAAATTTTGATACTACTACACTCGGATCTATTACTATCTAAAAAATCCAACATTAAATGGGTAAAAAAAACTGACGTTCCAATTTCGTTTTCTGTCATACGATTCAAACAACAAGGACAAGTCTTCTTAGAAGAGTAACATCTTTCTTTTTCTTCTTCCAGGTTTATGTTGTATCAATCTAAAAGTAAAAGTGAAATGAGATGGGAGTTTCATTGCGTCTGAATTCTGCTGCTTGCGATTAGAATTTATGTGTATTTATATATATCATGCATGTTACTTCAAATTTAATATATATATATATATATATATATATATATATATATATATATATATATATATATAATTCAAACGAGTTTGGTCCATGAAAGACAAATGCGTGATTTTAAGTGTTGTATTATATGTATTTCATTCCACTTAATATCTTGCTCTATTATTTTTCACAATGCAAAATTTAATATGTTTCTTTTTCTTATTATTTCACTAATTAAGTTTAGCATAGACCTTCTCTGATCTTAACTTAGGCAATATATATATATATATATATATATATATATATATATATATATATATATATATATATATATATATATATATCATTTACTCTAGTTATATAATTTTACTATCTTTTTTTTTTTAAATTTATTTATTGGACATTTTTTAATCATACATTGTGCCTGGTTATAAGTAATAAATTATATAATATATAGTGAATATTGTTAATGTTCTAATGTGTATTTCAAAAACTGAGCCTAAATTTCATTGTTTATACTTTAAGAATGTTGTTATCTTTTTCCAAATTAAGTTTTTTTTTTTTCTTAAATAATTATTCCAAAAGGCTGAACCCCAACCTTAAGGGCCCCTCACACCCCGGCCCGACAGAGCATTTTGGGAAGATGTAAATCATGGTGACTCAACTGAACATGAATCCATGATTGATTGTAGTGTTAGAGGTCAACTAAATTTATAAATCCATGAGTATTTTGGGTTATTGATCCATAAGGAATTAGATGCTAATAAGCACCAACTCAAATTAAAATTGTGAAGCTAATTCGATTGTAACATAATGGAAACAAGAAAAAAAAACAAACAAACTAAATTCAACTAATGAAGAGAGGTATTAAAGATGCGATGACGGTAAAAGACATAGATCAATCTAATTCCTATTCAAATTAAATAAATGTAGAAATCTAATTTTATCCTTTGCAAATGGATGAATTGTGATAAAGTCCTTGATGTCACTTCCGTGATCTACCCAAGTATACTGACCTACAAGATTTGCTACTCCCATAATTTACAAGCGCAAATTAAAGCTAGCACATGAAGAACCCAAACAATTCATCTAATTACCTATACACAAGTTAATCATACAAGCTGTGTAAGATTACTAAGGCAATCCAAAGACTAATCCCTAAATTCCTACTCGCTACTTTCACTGTTAGGGATGGCAACGGGGCGGGGCGGGGGCGGGGAGTATACTCCCCGTCCCCGTCCTCGAAACCCCGACCCCGTCCCCGTCCCCATCCCCGACGGGAAATTATAAATAATCCCCATCCCCGTCCCCGTCCCCATCCCCGACGGGAAATTATAAATAATCCCCATCCCCGTCCCCGCGGAGAATTTGGCGGGGACGGGGATTCCCCGTCCCCGATCAACTTTTAGTCAAAATCTAAAATTAGTGTAACTTTTAATTTTAAAAAATAAAAATTTTAAGTATTAATTTAATATATATATATATATATATATATATATATATATATATATATATATATATATATATATCATAATGACACAGTAGCAATTCTATTGTACACAGTAGGTTAAGTAATATATATATATATATTTTTATAACTCTACTGTACACAGTAGCATTCTACTGTACACAATAGGTTAAGTAATATATATATATATATATATATATATATATATATATATATATATATATATATATATATATATATATATATATATATATATATATATATTACAACTAAAATAAATAAAAAAAATAAATTATATATATATATAATAATTATTCGGGGACGGGACGGAGCGGGGCGGGGAGGCGTATCCCCGTCCCCGATCCCCAAAATTTTTTCCCATCCCCGTCCCCGTTCCCTACGCGGCCGGGGATCCCCGACGGGACGGGGCATATTGCCATCCCTATCCACTGTATAGAAGCCTAAGGCTAGTCAATAAGTGCCAATACGATTTTTACATACTCTCATAGTGCAAAAATTTATAGGTGTATGACAAGAGTATTCTAGCCAGGGACAGAGGCAGAGAGGGGGCAGCTGCCCCCTCATCCCACCCCTACTCCATATATAATATTTGTATGTATATATGTATATATAGTATAGGTGTTAGTATTAGTATAAAAAAATTAGTAAATGTTAACATGTAAGGAGTTAGAGTAATTATTAAAACATGTGTTTGTTAATGGAAAAAGGTCTTGGGTTCAAATCTTTACATTAACATATTTTTGAGTCCTTCCCCTATGGCCACTTTTTTAATATTTAATATGCGTAATTTATAATGTGTTTTCTATTCAAATTATTTTATCAAATTAATTATGTTTCATATTTTGTTATTAATATTTTTATAAAGTTTTGATGTGTTTTATTTTTCGCACATATCCAACAATATTTACAACTATATTTTTTAAGTAATGATTATATAAAAAAAATCTTAGGTAATTTATTTATTTTTTTTTAAATTATATCTTTTGTTTTAATGTTTCGCTTTTACTGGAAAAAATTTCTGAATCCGTACTACTTCTTCGCCCCCCCTCAATCGAATTTCTGGCTCCATCCCTGATTCTAGATACATCCCATTTCTATAAAAACACAACATAAAAAATGTGCATATAATTTCGCCAAAAATCACACACATCAACAATATATATTGCACACGACATGCAAAAACTAAACTAACAAATCATAATCATAATATATTAAAGAACAAATAACGAAAAATGCAAATAAGCACAATATATCCAAAATCCAAATATAACTATATTAAGCACAAGCATCTTCAATACACAAAATATATACAAGATTAAATCAAAATAAATA